CTGTAGCTCTTATAGGGTTACTGCCGGTCCCAAGCCCGGGTAAAGGAGGAGGGTTGGGCATAGCATTAGCGTCCCCATCCCGTAGAAAACTAACTCGCTAAAAAAACGCTTACCAGAAAAAATAATCCAAACCATTTAAACTCTGCCCTGGGAGTTAGAAGGTCTTCAGTTAGAAGAATTATGACGCTTCATGGTGAAAGCCGAGTTCCTTCGGAAGCCACGAGGCCGATGCCCCTTCTAACAACCAGAGCAAAAATTTTTATAGGTACATGGAACGTTCGAACAATGTGGGAAACCGGGAAGACCAGTCAAATAGCAATGGAAATGAGGAGATACAACTTAGCAGTACTGGGAATCAGCGAAACCCACTGGACCCAAGCTGGACAGAAAAGGCTAGCTACGGGAGAGATGCTGCTATACTCCGGTCACGAAGAGGACAATGCTCCACACACTCAGGGAGTCGCTCTTATGCTGTCCAAAGTAGCACGAAATGCACTTGTAGGATGGGAGTCTCACGGATCCAGAATCATCAAAGCATCATTCAAAACAAAGAAGGAGGGGATCTTAATGAATATTATCCAATGTTATGCACCCACCAATGATAGCAACGACGACATTAAAGATCAGTTCTACGAGCGGCTGCAGTCAATCATTGAGAAATGCCAAGAAAGGACCTAACTATTCTGATGGGAGATCTAAATGCCAAAGTCGGAATAGACAACACTGGATATGAAGATATTATGGGACGACATGGACTGGGAGAAAGAAACGAAAATGGAGAAAGATTTGCAAATCTATGTGCATTCAACAAATTGGTCATAGGAGGCACAATATTTCCACACAAGCGTATACACAAGGCTACATGGATCTCACCGGACCACACTACAGAGAACCAAATAGATCATATTTGCATCAACAAAAAATTCCGAAGGACAATGGAAGATGTGAGAACCAGGAGAGGTGCTGACGTAGCTTCAGATCACCACCTAGTTGTAGCCAATTTAAAACTGAAGCTAAAAAGAACTGGACAAGTGGACAAACAGCACTACAAAGGTTCAATACAGCCTTCCTTCGAGATACTGACAAACTCAATGAATTCAAGATAGCTCTCAACAACAGGTTCCAAGCCTTACAAGATCTACTGAAAGAAGAAGAAACTACTATGGAGGACAACTGGAAAGGCATCAAGGAAGCATTAACTTCAACGTGTCAAGAGGTTCTGGGCCTAAAGAAACACCATCATAAGGAATGGATCTCTATAGAAACACTGGACAAGATCAAAGAAAGGAAGAACAAGAAGGCAGCAATTAACAACAGCCGAACACGAGCAGAGAAAGTCCAAGCACAAGCTGAATACATAGAAGCAAACAAACAAGTGAAGAGGAGCATTAGAGCCGACAAGAAGAAATACGTGGAAGAACTAGCAACGACGGCAGAAAAAGCTGCTAGAGAAGGAAATATGAAACAGCTTCACGATACAACGAAGAAACTAGCAGGGAAATACAGTAAACCAGAGAGGCCGGTCAAAGACAAAGAAGGCAAGCCAATCACCGAAATTCAACAACAGCGTAACAGATGGGTAGAATACTTCGAGGAACTCCTGAATAGGCCGGCTCCAATGAATCCACCGGACATCGAAGCAGCACACATAGATCTTCCTATAGATGTCAACCCACCAACGACGGAAGAAATTAGAATGGCCGTCAGACAAATCAAGAACGGGAAAGCAGCAGGACCCGACAACATACCAGCTGAAGCACTGAAATCAGACATCGAAGCAACCACAAGCATGCTTACCTTCTATTCAAAAAGATTTGGGAGGAGGAACAAGTGCCAATGGACTGGAAAGAAGGACACCTCGTCAAGATTCCAAAGAAAGGAGATCTGAGCAAATGTGAAAACTACAGAGGCATTACACTACTGTCAATACCAGGGAAAGTCTTCAACAGAGTGTTGCTGAACCGGATGAAGGATGCAGTAGACGCCCAACTTCGAGATCAACAAGCTGGATTCCGTAAGGATCGGTCGTGCACAGACCAAATTGCAACACTACGGATCATCGTCGAACAATCAGTTGAGTGGAACTCATCACTATACATCAACTTCATTGATTATGAAAAGGCATTCGACAGTGTAGATAGGAGGACATTATGGAAACTTCTTCGACACTACGGAGTTCCTGAGAAGATTGTCAACATTATCCGGAACTCATACGACGGACTACAGTGCAAAGTAGTGCATGGAGGACAGCTGACAGATGCATTCCAAGTAAGGACTGGAGTCAGACAAGGCTGTTTACTCTCTCCCTTCCTCTTTCTTCTGGTGGTCGACTGGATTATGAAGACCTCGACATCTGAAGGAAAACACGGAATACAATGGACAGCTCAGAATCAATTAGACGATTTGGACTTCGCAGACGACCTAGCCCTCCTATCACGTACACACGAACAGATGCAGATGAAGACAGCCAGTGTAGCAGCAGTCTCTGCATCAGTAGGCCTCAGCATACACAAAGGGAAAACCAAGGTCCTCAAATTCAAAGCGGAGAACAGCAATCCAATCACTCTTGATGGCGAAACTCTGGAAGATGTAGAGTCCTTCACATACCTAGGAAGCATCATCGATGAACAAGGAGGTTCAGATGCAGACGTAAAGGCGAGGATCGGCAAAGCAAGGGTCGCATTCCTACAATTGAAGAACATATGGAACTCAAAACAACTTTCAACCAATATCAAAGTGAGAATCTTCAATACGAACGTCAAGGCAGTTCTACTGTATGGAGCTGAAACTTGGAGAACTACAACAACCACAATCAAGAAAGTACAAGTATTTATAAATAGCTGTCTACGCAAGATACTCAACATCCATTGGCCGGATACCATCAGCAATAGCCTTCTGTGGGAGAGAACAAACCAACTTCCAGCTGAAGAAGAAATTAGGAAAAGACGATGGAAATGGATAGGACATACATTACGCAAATCGTCAAACTGCATCACGAGGCAAGCCCTAACTTGGAATCCTGAAGGGAAGCGAAAAAGAGGAAGGCCAAAGAACACATTGCGTCGGATAATAGAAGCAGATATGAAAAGGATGAATTACAACTGGACGGAGCTAGAAAGGATTGCCCAGTACAGGGTTGGATGGAGAATGCTGGTGAGCGGCCTATGCTCCTTCACGAGGAGTAACAGGCGTAAGTAAGTAAGTAAGTAAAACGCATATTAGATTAGAGGAACTCATATAGATGTGACGATCGTATACGATATCCAGACACACTTTCTCGAATAAATCGTCAATTAAGAGCCCCCATATGAACAGTTTTCAGACGACGATAGAGGTACATGTTGTATTCAGGTCAAACAAATAAAGTCTACTGAAGACAATGTTTTGCTTTTGGACAATATTATCTTCTAAATCACTTCAACTATATTTTCTAATTCTCAAATAGAGTATGGAGTGAAATACAGTTTAGATAATAAAGATGAGTGATCAAAAAGGAAAAGACGAAACACAAATAAGTAAAACAGCGAACAATCAATGGTAACTATAATGACACTGAAATCATGCATCACTGTCTATTGATTAACCAATACTTAGCACTATCAATGTGCATAGGTTTGAAGAAATTTCTTTAGAAGTGTTCGTCAGATTAACTTCACATTAATTCCATACGACGTCTTCATTAGTAATTACATTACAATCAATGTCACTGTAACCGGTACCGTAACAACAATATTAAGAATTATTATTACTACCAATATTACTGTTGTGCTTAATGTGAATTCCAGTAAGTAGATTGTATTCTCCCCACATCAAATTCATGTGCATCACTCGTTTGATTATTACATTGTTTACAGCTTGACACCTCACACCAACTCACTTCCTTATCTTATCAATATGATTACCTGATTGCAAATCGGAAACAGTGTCCACTAAAATATTCGTTATTTGTTTCGAATTTCATAAAACGAGTTCTGGTCAGTTCAGTTCGCTCTGAGGTACGTTCACATAGAACGGTTTGAATTTTATAAATTGAAGCCTGTACAACTGTAAATCTCGCCGACATAGCTCAATACAAATGATGATTGAAATACTCAGAGTAGTTGGTTCGATACCAAAATTAATGGCATTCACGCGCGCTATAGTTTATCAAGTTTAATTTGAATTCTCCGGGTATGGATAAGCTGCAAGTTAAATCAAACAGTTTCTCGAGGAGTATCGGTGTCCTGAATATTCCCTGCATAATAATGAAGGTGATAGTTGACATCAGTAAATGAAAACCTATATTTACAGCTTCCGATTGAAAACTTTCAGACTCTCAACACAAAACAAATTCAACTATGTCAAGCTCACACATGTTATTCAAGCTTCCGAGTAAATCAAATGACTTGTTCTTCTCAAGCCACATTTTGACCACGTCATTTATTCGCTTATCAAACACGATTATTTACTTACGCTATTTGCCACATCTCCCTAAACTGTTCTTGGTCTGACTATAAGCATTGAGTTTCACTTAATGTAGTCCTGTTGACTTACTCGCCTTCTCTACTACATGTCACTTTGTTTCGTTTCATTTCCTCCACTTTATTCCTCTGGTTGCCTGTCTGGATCATTGAGTGTGTGGAATACACGTATTCAAAATGGATTTTGTATATGGCTTATCTCATTACATTATTCTTAAAAACGAATTAAGTTGATAAAATTACACGATGATTGCTGGTACGCATATTTTGATAACAATCAGTATACGATCTAATTGGAGTCAGTTACAGGGTCATTAGTAAAGATATGAATATGCCTATTATTTAGTGATCGGTCAACGTCTACTAAATAACTACAATCTCATACCTCCATGGTGTCCATATTCTGCAGAATGTCATGTTTTATAAGACTCTCATCAAACCCATATTCTCCTTACAGTTTAAAAGAGACGTTTCATCTGATCATAACTTGTATTACATATAATGTATTTTGAAACATTTCATTGTTTTCTATACGTTTAGATAGTCATGTTTGTCCGTCTCCTGCCTTCAGAGTAAATGAATTATTCAACCATGAAGTCTTATTGGTTCTGTTGCAATATGCTCGTATATTCTGGGACCATCGAGTAAGTAACGCAGTTGTTAGGAAACGGGTACTAGGTAAGGATTATTATTATTATTATTATTATTATTATTATTATTATTATTATTAATGGCTTTATTCAATATTATATTTTGGTACAATATAGAATTCTCAGCACAGGGTATTTCAACAAGTTACTTACTGAACAACGAACAAAAAGGCAGTAGCGAATACATAAAGAAATATATAAAATAAAAAAAAAAAAACCCAAAAAAACTACAAACTTTTAAAATTAAAGACATGTTAAGAATGTAAGTTATTGACTAGGTTAATTCTAACAACCTGTTCGTCACAGAGTATATTTGCTAGGTAAGGTATTATAGAACTTTTATACTTTTCCTTGCGTGCAAGGATTTTAATGTAATTACGTCTCGTTCTACCAGAAGATATACAAGGAGAAAGATAAGAGTGAAGGGGATGGCTAGTATCTGATAAAATAACACCTGCCAGGAGTTTGCATGATTTTAAATGTCTATCCACAACCATATTAATTATGACCTCGAAAGATTCACCACACGTCTTACTAACTGCCTTCAGCACTCTTCGCAATACAGCAAAGTCTTTTCTCAAAAGCCCGGGAAAGAATAATGGAGAACAGTAAAGAATAATAGGTAATATGCAAGAATTGACAAATTGTAAGAGTAAATGACGAGTAATTCCAAGAGCATGCAATCTCTTTATGTAGTAGGTCAGACGGAAAACCTTCTTTGATAACGATAAAACGTGGGAAGACCAAGACAGATCAGAGGAAAAGGTGACACCAAGATAATTGACCTTCGACACTGAGTTTATCAAAGAGTCTCCGATGGTACAAGCACTATGGGATCTCAAAATAGTGTTTATATTCCGTTCATGTCTCATACTAAAGTTAACAGCTTGACATTTAGATGGATTAAGTATGAGACCATTACCAACAGACCAACAATCAATACGAGACAAAAACTCATTCATTTCTATGGGATGTAAAGAGGAAGATATAGGCATACATACAGTGAGATCATCCGCGTACTTCACAAAAGTGTTTTCTGTGGAAGATGGCAGGTCATGCAGAAAAAAAGAGAATAGAAGAGGTGAAAGAACAGCTCCTTGTGGTACACCTTCCTGAGACAGTAGAGAATCTGAACTCTTTCCTCCAAACACAGTGTACTGTTCCCTTCCAGAGAGGTAGGAACATAGCCAGTTGGTTATCCAGCTGTCAGTGTTGACGCTGATTAACTTGTTAAGTAAACGTTGTCTTGGTATAGAGTCAAAAGCTGAAGTATAGTCCAGAAAAGCACATCGAACATACTTCTTACCCTTTTCTAAGTTGAACACTATGTTGTGATGCAGAACTGCAACAGCATCTAAAGTGCTTCTTTTGCGCCTGTATGCAAACTGGTATGGGTCAGTATGCTCTTTTATCGCAGGCTGAAGTGGAAGTATTAATAATTTTTCCATGGTTTTGAGGAAGGGTGAAGTTATTGCAATAGGTCTAAATTTTACATTCTTATCACCAAATGCTTTCTTGGGTACAGGAATTATCTTCATCTTTCTCCACATTTTCGGTATGAGATTAGATGAGAAGGATCTGTTAAATATAGTTGTGAACGGATGACACAGAACGTCAGCACATTTTTTAAAAAGGATGTTTGGGATACCATCAGGTCCCAAACATCGAGATGAATTAAGCGACTGGAGACATCCTCGTACATCAGTTTCAGTGAAAGTAGGAACACAGCTATTTTTTAAACCCGTGGATAGAGGGAGCATCACATCAGATGACTGACGTACAAAAGACTTATTTAAGTCACAAACATTCAGCTGGTTATCGCTTCTAAACTTTCTGTCACCTGTAAGTTCTTTAAAGAATTTCCACATACTTGGAGAGTTTTTGCAAGATAAGAGTTTTTGAGTAAACATACAGTTGAGACGTCTAATCTCTAGGTTTATCAGACCATTTAGCTTACGAACTTCATTTGAGTTCTTCTCCTTGTACATTCTTTCTTTCATCCTCCGTAGTCGTTTTAGTTGTGAAGATGTAAGTCGATCAAAACTTACAAAAATGGTTTCAGTGGGACAACAAATATCAAAACAGAATTTAAGGTAACAAGTGATAACATCAGTAGTGTTTTCGAGTGAGTCATCTGTAAATAATTCCCAGTTAGTCGTATGAAACATGTTTTTCAGATTTCGGATATTTTCTTCTGAGTAATTCCTATATTTGACTTTCTTGGTTTGATGTAAGAGTGTACTCTTCCCATGCTTTCCATATACTTTAGGTAGAACACGAATTATACAGTGATCTGAGCTAGACAATGGAGCACGTTTACGAGTCGCATATATACCCACATCATTAATGAAGACGAAGTCTAGATGAGCATCCAAACGGGTAGGAAAATCTACTACATTTTGGTGACCTAGTGACGTAAGGAAGCTACAGTCACATGAATTGAAATCACCACATACAACTGAAAGTGAATCACTGAAGGCAGTAACAGCGAACTCAGTGAATTCATCAGCAAAAACAGATAGTGCAGATGATGTGCAATCTGGAGTCACGTAGATATTGGTAACATAAACATATTTGTATTTATTCAGATGTTTTGGACGACATCTTAGAGTTAGACAGTCGATAAAGTCATTTGAAAACTTAAAACACACAAACGAAGATCGACACCAGTTTATGTTTACAAACGTAGCTACACCGCCACCACACCTCTTTTTATTGTTCGATCGATCCTGACGATAAATTTTGAAATCATGTAGTGATACAAGGCAGTCATCCTGTAAATCATTCAACCAAGATTCTTGAATTGTGATGACACCACAATTACGATACGTATTTTGACTAAGCAGGAATTGCAGATAGTCCACTTTGTTGATTAGTGATCGGCAGTTAGAATTTAGTAGCTCGGGAATCGACATACGATTAATGTTCATTCTCTTTAACGCATATTGCCAACCACCACGATGCCTTTTATAGTACTTTTTCGTAACTTGTGCAGCGAAAGGTCGTAGGCTTTTCATAAAAGCGCCTGAATAGGTTATGCGATTAATGGACATAATTATAAATTAAAACAAATGAAAAACAGATAACTTGTTGAAATAATCAGATGGCAGAAACAGGTAGCCCAGATATTCAAGCAGGCCGCCAGTGTGTGAAATGGGTGGCAAATCGATTGATGAAGTAGTGAATCTTCATCAGTTGAGATGGCTGGGACATGTGTTACGTATGCCCAACCACAGACTGTCTCGACGTGCGATGTTCAGTGGTATAAGAGTGGGTTGGAAGAAAGCTAGGGGCGGCCAGATCAAAACATGGCACGAGTCCATGAAGTCACTGATAAGTGGACTGAGTCATGTTGATAGGTGTTGACTACCTGGTTGGGGACCGCGAGATGATAGCAACCGATGGTTAGAGACTCTGAATGAAATGGCTCAAAATCGTTTGCAATGGTGCAGGTGCATCCACTATTTGTGTTCTCCAAAATTTTATATCTCCTGATTCCACCTTGTCTCTTTTTTCTCTTCCCAAATTTATTCCACTGTATTATACTCGTTAAATAACATTTCCAAGCCCTAATCTTCCCGATTACTGCTTGTACTCTTACTACCTCTACCACTACGGGATTTGAATCGACCACTGCATCTCTGTGCTAATGTGGTGTGGCAACTCGAACTGATGCACTTACGTACGAAGTTCTACGTTGTTAATGACTGACTGACTGACTGTTGTAATATGCCACAAATATGATCAAACTGTGAATGGTAAAATGATTTAAGCGAAGAGACCAAAACGTGTACGTTACAGTTTGTGATGATTGATAACCGTTAAACAGATTCTGAAGGCTGATTAAGAAGTACAAGACTTACATACGTTCTCTCCACTCAAATACACAGGACATGACAACTAATGTTCAATGTCTGCTATTTCTTTAAACTATATTTACAGCACGTTTTATCAGTTGATTAAAATAGTTTCCATACTTCAATGTGATTATTAATTTTAATCGTATAAGTATGCACAGAACGTAAAAGGGATTTTGAGCTCTTAAGAAATATACATCCAAAGATGGAGTTCATATACCTGTGAATTAGTGAACGTTTGATATACTCTGGTACAAACTGTTATGTAATAGACTGAATAAAATCATCTGGCTTAGAAAACTCCAATATGTTTTGGTGATAAATTTTATTCTGTCCTTAAGTCCAGTTTCAAGTGCTTTAAAATGCAGTTCATCTGAATTTAATCAACAGTGTCATGTCATTGTGAACACTAGTACGAAATAAAGTACTTCCGCCAATGAACTTGAAATCTCTTATCGTGTCTGTTCATGTTACAGGTGGTGTCATGGTCTTTGGTTCTTTGCCTATTATTTCCGTGTTATGATGAATTGTCCTCTATGAAGATGATATAACAGTATAATCGGCTCTTGAAACACTATAATATTAACCTTTGTATTGAGTTCACCCACCATAGTTGCACTGAATATGTTGTAAATATTTACATTTCCTTGCTCGGCAAGATTTCTGAACTGAAGTCTTCCATCGAACGTCATTTTGTCTTTCATCGTTTATCTTGTCATTGTTTCGTGATCCACTGGCAGTAGATCAAAAATTGTAAGTAAAAATGAGCGTTCGCCATTGAATCGATTTTTATGTACCATCGAACTTCATTCCAGTCATCAAATTGTTAGAGTTTCCAAATAGTATTGCACACTATGATTTAAGGATATACGAATCCAGAGAAACATCATCTTGTATAGAAAATGAAACATTCAATATTGGTTAGGAAAAAACGTCATTTATTCAGTGTGAACCGATAAGACGTTTTATGGTTAACGACTCGAATAGCTGATTTCAATCAAATTTCCTTACAAAAGCATGTGAATTCGGCTGTCACATCAAAATATCTAGACGTCAAATAGAGAATTTTCAAATACTGATTTTAGTTAGACATCAGTCTGTATTCATAACATATAACCGACAAACAAGCAAATCTTTCAGAAGTCAAGCTAATTTACTGATAATAAAGAATTCCAAGTGATCTTGAAAGGAGTGATGGTCCCACTGATTTGTGGATGAATGGATGCAGTCAAGCTTCTGGAATCACCAACATAAATAACACTGACAAGCTTTGAGACGGCATCACAGTCATTACTCAAAAGTCTGGTGATACCTGTATTTTTAGGTGCTTCAAATTGTTGACCAAGAAGCATATGTTGATTTCGCAATTTCGAGTAACTTTTAATTGGTGAATAATGCCTAACACCTATGAGATTATCTGATTTGAATAAACCTTGGATTCGTTGTGTAGCTTATGTGTGTTTATTCATTTTATATTAGAGTTTATGTAGGTGTCATTAGTAATTATGATATTTAACTCTTTTAAATAATTCGTCAGACGTGATGGTTTTGTATGTCTTCAGTGGAGCAAATGATTTCCAGAATACAAAAAAGTGATTTGGTAAAATATGCGGTCAGCAACCACGAGACTGTTGCTCTAAAACTTGGTGTTGCAATTTGAGTGTCTTATCAGGTTTGTATTTTTGCAATTCTTGTAATGTGAAGGAACGCTATGAGGAACTTTTATAAGATTAGACCCAATATCCTTTCTATGGCTTTTACTTTAAAATTAGTTGTGTGAAGTGATAACTCTACAGAAGGCTAGATCGAATATGCCATTATGTCCTTTTAAGAGTGTGAACTTGGTGTGAATAGCGGTGCGATTTCAGTTTTGTTAAAAATTCATCATCAGATGGTCAACCCTCATAAGTATTCTATTTTGCACCTGAGTTATTTAAACATCACATGACGACCCACACATTGAAATCAAGAGACGCGTGTTCTAATCCACAAACATTGAGTTAACTCTCAGTAGCAGAAGTGTCATTGACAACTTATGTGCAGCCATTGGGTGAAACATCGTTTAAAATGTTAGTTTATTATTAGACGTATTCAATTGTGCTGCTAAGAACACTATTTCACACTACTATCTGTGAAATAATCTTGAACGTACATCAGATATTAACCTCCAGTTTTATCTTCTCTGTCATGGATAGTATGCCTGAATATTATATTTTGAGTTTGGAACTAAAGAAAGGCATAATCGGTTGGCGAATATTACAGAAAGTGTATTGTGTAATAAGACCATGATTATTTGTGCCGAAATTCAGTTTACAAGTGAGCCTACATTGAAACGTAATGAGTTTGAAAACGAAGTAACTAGCTAATAACGTATGGATGGATGTTATGTAATTTAAATGCGACTAGCGAATAGTTTGGATTAGATAAGAGATCGTTTCAAACTTCGGTCTAAACGGGGTATAGCGGTAGAAGAACCATGGAATTCCCTAAATCGAAAAACTCGAACATGAGTGGTTACAACTTGACGTGCAGCTAGGATACATATTCACTCGTTGTAATTCAGCTGTAAATGTTGTATAACCTGAGAGTCGTTGTTGTTGATAACTGATCAGGTGAGGAGAAGTGTTTTAATAATATGCAGATTACTTATAAATTGTTGTAGGTTCAACCGTGGAATAGATTGAATTCTTGTGGTTAACCGGGCCTATGCATCTCATCTGCTCACATCAGGGTTATGGCGAACAGGCAAATGAGCTCCATGCATTTGATTCTGACGGTGTTTTTTCGACAGGTCGTCTAGTGTCTGCAGATATAAATGGCCCAACAAATAGGTGAATCGACCAATGTTTTGATCTTCTCTATGCGTGTATTTATTTATTATATCTCGCTAGTTCTGAAAAACTGATTTATTACTGTTAAGTTTTATTAATCGTCAGTCTGTGAATGTCAGTGACATTACGCCAACAGGAATTAAATGAATTACTGTAGTCAAAATTGAATCATTTTATTATTGCAAAACTAAGATAGAACGTGCATTAGAACTCCAATAATCGTCTACAAGACTGAGACAATCTCCTATAGCAAATTGTTATAACCCTAAGGCATTGATATGAACCGAATACCTCCTGACAATAAGATTAGTTAGGCTTAATATAAATGAAGCTATTTTTCATTTAATGTGTGGAGATATGACTGACAAGCTTATTTTGTAAATAGTTTTTAATATTATTTGTATTTGTTTGTCAATTTTTCACTGTATGTACATTTATCATTAAATGACTGTACATGTTGTTTTAGTAAATGACCTTGAACACACTTTCCGTTGAGCTATTACATAGCGTGACATTCTTGCTGGTTAACAAATACATTACTACTCTCGCATTCCTCGTTCTATTTCCATTTGTGATTGAGTTAACGGAAGTCTAAATCAAATACTATCTACATTTATAGACTGTAATCGGAATATATCACATCCTACGTTGGACTATATCGCTAGAGAGTTCGCCAACCTGCTCAGAGTCATCAAGCATTTATAATTGTGGATTTACATTACTGGACCTAATCAGAACACGCAACGTTTGGGCAATTTAAGTAACGTCCCTAATTTTTATTGTATTTGTAACAGTTAACTGTATATATTAATATTACTATTTATCTTTAGTAACTTGGTTTATACTTTTTGCGTTCATATTTGTCTGGTCCACCACAATTATTTGGTGAGCCCTGATTTTTTTTATAGACATTTACTATATATATATCTACATAATTTTTTATTATTATTAATTGGCACGACACCATTTTGGTCTTTGACATTATGAACTCTCCTAATAAACTTATCGATATTGATAGCCCATCAACCAACCCCTTCCATTCATCACAGCCAGATGATAATGTTTTAAACTCGATCAACGCTATCTCAGAGTTAAGATTACCAACGTACGGTGTTAATAATCCCAGGATCTGGTTTGCACAGGTTGAGGCATTATTTTTGTCGAGAGGTATACGCTCGCAAGCGACAAAATATGCATACATCGTTGGAGCATTACCCATAGAAGTGGCAGCAGAAGTCGGAGACCTGATAGATAACGTACCAGAAACGGACCCCTACGACAAAATAAAAGCCGCAGTAATCCACCGTACTTCGCAGTCTGACGAAAAACGCTTACAGCAACTACTCACCGCATGCGAGTTAGGGGACAAAAGACCTTCACAGTTGCTTAGACATATGAGACAACTAGCAGGCTCATACAAGTTAGACGAAGCATTACTTAAGCAGATGTGGTCACAAAGGTTACCACATAGCGTCAGACAAATCCTCAGCATATCAGGAGCCTCTGTCAGTCTTGATGATCTAGCAGACATGGCCGATAAGATGATAGAAATATATCCCGATAGTTGCGGCGTTAACGCGATACCATCCTCAAGTAGAGAAAACATGAGCGACGCACTCAACATCCAACAACAAATAACACAGTTAACACAGCAGCTAGCATCACTGCAGGCCACTATTTCCACCATCCGTTCTCGACCTCCCAGATCTACGTCCAGAAGGAGATCAGTATCCAGACATCGCCTTAGGTCACCTAAGCGGGCAGCCGGAATTTGTTGGTATCATTCGAATTATGGTGAGAAAGCACGTCGTTGCACAAAACCGTGCAACTTCACGACAAACAAGCCAGACCATCAGGGAAACGAAGTGGCCAGACAGTAATGGCGGCAGCTGTTACTGGCCAACATGTTAGCCGCCTCTTCCACATCAGGGATCGTATTTCTGGCTCAGACTTCTTAGTCGATACTGGAGCAGAAATCAGCATCATCCCACTTCATCTCTCACGCAGACAACATACGACAAGCACTAAATTGTCCTTAGTAGCGGCTAACGAATCAGTTATCAAAACTTACGGAGAGCAATCTCTTATATTAGATCTCGGGCTCCGCAGAAGATTCACATGGGTATTCATAGTTGCTCAAGTCAAACGACCCATTCTCGGAGCTGATTTCCTCAGTGCCTACAATTTGTTAGTAGATATGACCAAGAAGAGATTAATCGACGCAAATACACGTTTACAGGTAGAAGGTACACCTTCCAACGACTGTGAAATCCATGGTGTACGGATAATGAAGCCTGCGAACAACGTTTTCAACGACATACTGACAGAATACGAATGCATCACGAAAATAGACTACCAAAAAGAATGCGATCCACATCATGTGCAACATCACATCACTACCACTGGACCACCTATTAGCGCCAGGGCGAGGAGACTACCACCAAGCAAGTTGCAAGTAGCTAAAAGAGAATTCGAACATATGATGCAACTTGGTATTATCAGACCATCCAACAGCCCTTGGGCCTCGCCGTTACACATGGTACCAAAGAAGGACCAAGATTGGCGTCCGTGTGGTGACTATCGACGATTAAACAATCAAACCATTCCTGACAAGTACCCGATTCCGCATATACACGATTTTTCATTAAACCTACACGGTAAATGTATTTTCTCCAAACTCGACCTCGTGCGCGCATACCATCAAATTCCAATGGCACCGGAAGACATTGAGAAAACAGCCATAATAACACCTTTTGGTTTGTTTGAGTTTCTAAGGATGCCATTCGGATTAAAAAACGCTGCGCAGACATTCCAACGCTTCATGGATAACGTAACAAGAGGCCTTGATTTCGTGTTTGCCTACATCGACGATGTTCTGATTGCAAGCTCATCTTTAGAAGAGCATATCCAACATGTCCAGATCCTTTTTGATCGTTTTAAAAAACATGGCGTCGTCATCAATCCTTCGAAATGCATATTCGCAGTCCCAGCCTTAGAGTTTTTGGGACATTACATCGACTCACAAGGGATCAAACCACTTCAGACGAAAGTTGAGGATATTACTAACTACCCCGAACCAACCTCGGTTAAGTCATTACGACGCTTCCTCGGTATGTGTAATTTTTATCGCCGCTTCTTACCACGTTGTGCTGAAGTATTACAGCCATTAACCGATCTGTTGAAAGCCGACAAAAAAGGTACGAAGAGAGAGAAGAATCAAACATTCAACCTATCTCTTGATGCCAAAACAGCGTTTGAAAAAGCAAAGTCGATGATAGCTAATGCCACCATGCTACAACATCTAAATACTGACCCCACAACCCACTTAATTCTGTGTACGGATGCATCTCAGAAAGCCGTCGGGGCAGTATTACAACAACAGGTAAACAATATGACTACTCCCATAGCGTTTTTCTCCAAAAGACTGTCACCAGCCCAGGAACGCTATAGTACTTTTGGACGGGAGTTACTTGCTATCTACTTAGCCGTTAAACACTTTAACTTCTTACTACAAGGACGAACTTTCACCATCATGACCGATCACAAACCTTTATGTTACTCATTCCACACATCGTACGACCGACATTCACCTCGCGAAGCACGACAACTGGATTACATCTCCCAGTTTACGACAGATATCCAATTTGTCAAAGGAAATACCAACGTCGTAGCTGACGCATTGTCACGTAAGGACGTAAATACCCTGTTACGTAAACAAGACATCGATCTAGAAACCATCGCAAAACTACAAGTGGACGATGCAGATTTGAAGGTCTGCCAGGAGAAGTCTAACTTGAACCTTAAACCAGTACCCATCCCTTTCTCAAATACATCTATCATTTGCGATGTTTCAACGGGTAACAATCGCCCTTTCGTACCACTAGCATGTCGTCGACAGGTATTTCGTCAACTGCATGACCTTTCTCACCCAGGAATCAGAGCCACAATCAAATTGGTTACTGAGCGTTTTGTGTGGCCAAAAATCAATTCAGATATAAAACGATGGACGCGAAGCTGCCTACAGTGTCAACGCAGCAAGATTCAGAAGCACACGATCAGTCCAGTTGGCAAGTATCCCCTGCCGGAAAAACGTTTTCAACATATCCACTTAGACATAGTTGGTCCATTGCCACCATCTAATTCATTCACGCACATTCTCACTGCGGTGGACAGGTTCACAAGATGGGCCATAGCATGCCCTATTGCTGATACTTCTGCAGAAACAGTAGCCGGCGTATTCCTTGACCGTTGGATAGCGAATTACGGAGTACCTTCTATCGTCACTACCGACCGTGGTCCCCAGTTTCAGTCTATCTTATTTCAGGAATTCACAAGACTTCTGGGCGTGAACCACATCAAAACAACAGCCTACCACCCAGCAGCTAACGGCTTGGTCGAAAGATTTCACCGCCAATTGAAAAGCTCGCTGATGGCACAAGATGATACGACAAAATGGAGTGACGCATTACCACTTGTACTCCTGGGTATCCGTTCAACTATAAAGGAAGATATAGGTTGTACAGCCGCTGAGCTAGTTTACGGTACAACCCTTACATTACCAGGTCAACTAGTGGACCCAAACACTTTAACACCAACGGACCCAAGTCGTTTTGCTAGCCAACTGCTGCAAACCATGCAACGAATCAAAGCCATACCGCCTCGTGAACATAACAATCGAATACAACTCAACAGAAATCTAGAAACATGCAAATTTGTCTTTGTTCGAGTTGATGCTGTTAAAAAGCCATTGAAACAACCTTATGAAGGACCATATCAAGTAATTAAAAGAACGACCAAACACTTCATAATCAACAAGTGTGGAAAGAAAGAGACTATTGCTATCGATAGAATAAAGCCTGCTTTCTACGAAGCACAGCACGACAAAGAACATACTACTTCACTGAACCAACCCCGTCCAGCAACCACCACTACAGCAGACATGGAAGAAAAACTGAGTATCAAACCTACTTGCTTAACGCGCTCAGGCAGAGCTGTAAAAAACCCAAACGCTATGTACATTTCGCCGAATAAAAAAAATCTAAACAAACAATTACTGATGTACTATCCCATTATACTCACCCGATTTTTCCCAACAAAATCTATGATTTTTTTTCTTTTTTACAGTGTACATAATTAACCATATTTTTTTCCCCACAATTATTCGTTTTGTCACATTTTTTTTATAAAAAAAATTTGTTACAATAATAAACGAGTAAACTCTATTTAATTATTCATTTGTTGTACACACACACAAAAAAAAAGCAGTTCATTTTTTTTGGGTTCAGTAACAGTTCTGTACATTATTATCATTGTTAGCAAACCAAAATTTTAAATGACGGTATTCTCATTACTTTTGTTTGTCATGCTATGCCACATCACCGCTATTTTCACGCAATAACACACTGTATATTATTAACGTACATGTCATACGCATCTCCACATTGTTAATTGGTTATTAATGTAAATATTTTTTTTTGTATAAAATTTTTCTTATTGTTATTGTAACCAGTGTTACCTCCGGACACTCTGGGGGGAGCTATGTGGAGATATGACTGACAAGCTTATTTTGTAAATAGTTTTTAATATTATTTGTATTTGTTTGTCAATTTTTCACTGTATGTACATTTATCATTAAATGACTGTACATGTTGTTTTAGTAAATGACCTTGAACACACTTTCCGTTGAGCTATTACATAGCGTGACATTCTTGCTGGTTAACAAATACATTACTACTCTCGCATTCCTCGTTCTATTTCCATTTGTGATTGAGTTAACGGAAGTCTAAATCAAATACTATCTACATTTATAGACTGTAATCGGAATATATCACATCCTACGTTGGACTATATCGCTAGAGAGTTCGCCAACCTGCTCAGAGTCATCAAGCATTTATAATTGTGGATTTACATTACTGGACCTAATCAGAACACGCAACGTTTGGGCAATTTAAGTAACGTCCCTAATTTTTATTGTATTTGTAACAGTTAACTGTATATATTAATATTACTATTTATCTTTAGTAACTTGGTTTATACTTTTTGCGTTCATATTTGTCTGGTCCACCACAAATGAAAACATGATAACAATGTTGACACTGGCTTCAACAGAAAAGTATTTGTGGCGTACAGTTGGCTCATTCGAATTCAACTTGTCTTCACTGAATGTGATAAATCCCCATAAACCATAAAAATGTGTATGCATCTAAATTAAATTTTCATGAAAAGAGTTACGCTTAGTTCTCATGACCAATTTAGTTGGTGGTTTTCATTGATATTCAATACTTAGTTTAAAAGCAAAAATGATTTCATTATAATATTGATAACTGATTGCATAAAAATAAGAAAAAAACTCCACTGCAAATTAACAGTGGTTGAAGGGTATTTGGCATTTAGAGAAAACCGACGATTGGCAAGAACTGTGCATCATTTCGTACACAGAGATATCTGCCGCTTGTCTGTTGGTAACATTCAGTTCTCTGTGATTTTGTATGAATTCACCGTGAGGGCTTGAGTGTGATGATCACAAATAATGGAATTTGAAACACTGACTAGCAACACGTGAAAAACACTGATAAGTACTTTCGCGGTCCTGTATGGAGATTATTAATAGCGAGTATATATAACAAAATGGAATAACGGCATGATAATTTAGGCCAAAATTTCATAATAACTTATGGACAATCAGTGCAGCTTGAAAACATCCGGCCACCCATGTTTCAGATACGCATTGGTATACATCTAAAGTATTGATTATTGTCTTGAAATCACACCAAAGGTCAAGGTAATAAGTGCGAAGTGTACGGTAGGTGAGGAAATTTAAAGTACAAAATCACTTTCGAGAATTTTTAGTGAATGAACAAAGGAATTTACGGCGTTCGTTCACCTACAAGTTGAGATAGTCGCATTATATCAAGTTTGAAATCACAACCGTCAACAAAATTCTCGAAACCAAATACACAAAATGAACATCAACTCAGACTATCGACATATATTATCTCAAGCAGATGACGGAGGACAGAAGTAGGTCTCAGATCAAACGATATTTATTACTGATCACAAGAACAGAAATCATCCTGACAGACAGCAACACTTGAAATTTCAGTGACTAGGCTCTTCAATCCTTCCTGAAATCTGGCTGGAGATCAACCTTAACCTAATATTAAGTAGGGTCGTTTCAACAGATAATAAACAGTGGCGATCGTTGTCAAAACTGATAAAAGTTTATCAATGATAATCCGTAGATAAATATTCTTAAATGAGCAACGTTGCTTACTTCACAACAATGACGTCGAATAAAAAAAATCATCAGCGCCAACTCTGATGTAAATGTGCCCATTAAAACTGGAAATCAATGTGCAACGCTGAATTCTTATCTTTCCACAGCACTTGACATACTCAACTGTCAATTCTTTAATCAAAACATCAGAGTCGTGTGTGAAGCTGATTATGACAACACAAGTTTAGGCCTATCTATAGGCCAAGCTTTGAATGAAATAATTGACCATATACCGTCCGTGACAACAACAAAATCATGGAAGGAATCATAATCAGTGTTGAGAACATCGAGTTAACAATAGTTTGTCGCCTAACTTTTACTGAACGTCAAGTAATCAAGTAACGAAGAATAAAAGTGCCTATATTTATATTCATAAGCTATTATGGTCGCTCAGTATAAAACAATGGCTGTAGTTAATTCCGAATGGTATTGTTCAGTAGTGAGATTTTATTGGAAATAAACATTCACAACGGACTCATTGTTGATTGCAACTATAATAAAATCACGTTTACACAATACTACTAATTTGAAAACAAAATGTTGTCAAACTCTCGCGAAACAAGTCAGTTGTAGATGCCACAAGTAGTTGGAGTTTGACAACGCCTTAACCAGTAACACCTTCTATTATGAATCGTACCCACCAAGTGAAATCAAAAGTCGGAAGCGAGGAAGTTCGAAGATATGTTTGATAGGCTATCAATATATCGAAGATCGTCTGATCTAATCTGGCTAGCGATTGTAGGGGTTGTTGAGCTATTTATTTCGGGGATTTATTTAACGCTACACAGTTTCTATTCAATGAAGACAATTACGCAAATAGTAAAAATCCAGTTTCTATATTTTGTCAACAAGATTACATAAGTTGTTAAGTAAACAATCATAAGAATGTACATAATTCCATAAAGAAATTGTTCAAACTATTGAAATGAATAATGATATGAAAAGTGTTCTAAAGAAGTACTAAATGAAAACAATTTGGAATAATCAAACAAAGTTATAAGACATTTGTGAGAATCATCCTTTACTTCACTTTCTTTGATGTAGCCATCTCCAAATTATTAAACCAACACATACAACAAAGAAAATGATGACTAAAGGAATCACAATATACAAGTACGGGAGTGATTTCTTCTCTACATTATCTTCAGTAATCGTATTCTGTAACCGGAAATTCACCAGCGCTTGATGTTGTTTCAATGTGTTTGGTAGGTGTTTGTGCCCTCGACTCGTTCACTTCTGGGTTATACTTAATAAACAAAACAAAAGCATTGATTACCAAATGTCAATTAATTCAGTAATCATTATGCACAATTGTCAGCACTGATAATAGAATAATATTCGACAAATAGTTACTCAATTTGCATTCATACAATCATTTAGAGCATCTACTACCGATTTGACAGTCTGTATGCTGAGTACACGCCATTCGGAAACCAACAGACGACTCAATTTTGTGATGAACTTTGTGTTCTGAATGTCGCATCTAATCACAATCCGAATAAAAACCAATAAACTTAAAATTGACTTTTTAATTAAAGTAATGTATCTAGGTTACATATTACTCAGCAGAGAGTCAGAAGTCCTTGTTCTGAACATCAACAATGAAGTCTACTTCCAATAATTATCAAAACATGACACACTATTTCCAACAGGTTACACTTCTTCAATCAAACTGGTTTCATCGGTATTTTGCAACAATCCACATAGATATGCGTTTTCTAAAATGACCACACTTACAATGAGCTGAAATATTATTTTTTTCGAGTATTAGTGAAAATGATCACTTCGATCCATTGTTTACTCATTCCATAGAATGAAAGCACGGTACTCATTTGTGAATAATTGACGTCAACGTATACAAAACTTTAATTTAGTAATTGACGGTAGTGTCCCAGTTATTTTTTATTCGTAAAGAAAAAATGTTTCTTCGGGTGAATGGATGTACACGAAATGTGTAATTTTCCAATAATTAAAACGACCTGTGAAGATTAAGAAGTACTAACCTTAACACGGCACTTATTAACTTTCATGTTATGAGCATCCTCGTCAGTACTATCAATGCATATGTTCGCATTATCACACCAAAAACAAGTTATATTCAATGTTGTTGCGTTTTGGCATGCTTCAGGTGAAGTGTATTTTGGACAATAGTCTGTGAAAAGAATGAGATGATTTAATTTCAAGTGACCAAACAAAAGGTAAGTGAATTACAAAACATGTAACAATAACCCAATGATCTAATGCTGATTTCGGCGTTAAGTGACAATTTCACTCACTGGAAAATTGTCACTACGATGCATAATGCAATATTCAGTGCGTCATCAATTTCAATCATGTTTCGCGACATCATGTTTGAATTGAATGAAACTATGTCGAATGTCAAGTATGAACGATGGATTTCAATAACTGTTTACATTCAGACATGTACGCACGAAGCTGTCAGTGGACTCAGCAGAGCACATTACATTGAATTTTTCATTGTTGTACAGTTTATTTAGATGATATCAGTTTTATGAATGCACTTAGTTCAAGAAATTCAGTTGTTTTCAGACTTAATATCGAGTTTTAATTATGTTAGTCCAGTCAAACGACAAACGAAGTCTGACATTGTTTTTATAATGATCAATGATGATATTCCTGAAGAGATTTCAGTCGACCTACTGTGATGGATAATATCAAAGTATGTAACTGCATTGTGTTCTTTGTGCTATCAGTTATTCTATGAAACTAGTTGGATCAGTGAAGATTCATTGATGATGAACGGAGTATCTTATTCGAAGAATATTGACGGCGATCTGATTATTCTATCATGGAATGATTCTCTCACTACTAAAAATATTATTTCAGTAGACTTAAACATGGTGAACTAATATCTGTTTATACTTACTCAATGTACATATTCATGAGAAGGTACACATTTTCATAATGTGGAAATAATTCTTAAACTGGCTATGATAAATTGTAATTTGGAAACGTGACTTATCCATACCTTCAATTTATCGTATATGTATGACAAAGCAAAGATTTCGGAAAATAGACAATCGTTTCCAAAGTGTTCGCATTTACGTGAAGTGTTTCTTTTTGCAAATTCACTACCTCAGTAAGATTTCATTTCACATGTACCAATAGAAAATACGGACACTTTCTCATCAACGCGCAATTAACTAACAGACACTTAATCTTGTTCAAAACTAACATCATCTCATATATCGTTTTGTTGCTTTGTGGTCAAGTCACTTTTTGATCAGAGTGAAGACTTCAATATTGATTCAAATTGGATTTTGAATCCTTTTCATCATTCAACAAAAGAATCGATGTGTAGTTATTAATGGTAAGTGAGACGTCATTTAGGATAGATAGCTCGATATCATTTGGTAGTTAAATACAATTATACATGGAATATTCAAATTGTTGAAGTAAAAATGATGTTTTCAAGTGTGAAGATAGTTATTACTGATTAAATAAGTTATAACATACCTCCAATAAATTCATATTCCACCATCGTGCCACTTTTGATCCATGTTTCAGGAGTAATTATTTTAGGTCCTATTTTATCATGTGTGATAGAGTGAACAAGAAAAGACACATAAAGTTTTGAATTCGTTTATAAATACAACAGGTTATTTGCATCATTTAATTTGTGGTCTAAACTAGGAACTGGGAAATGTCTCATATAAGATAAGTTGCTGATTATCTAGCATGCCCAAAACTTATTAAAGTACATCAAAATCGATCAATGTCCAACCAGTACCATTCGTTTAATTCTGTTTCATACAAAACACACTTTCTTTTGAGTGGAGACTGAGGACTAAATTAGTGACTTGTGTACTGTAAGTTAAAGAATAAATGAGTGTTAATGTCACTTCTTTAATTTCGTCATTCATATGTCCCCATCCGAATGCGTTAATCGGTAACCATAAGACTGAGCCGCATCAAAATAGCCATCCGCACTCTGAGGGTAAATACATTCATACACCTTAGTTGCTTTACACAAGATATCTGGTTAAGTGAGTATAAGCATATGTGGAGAGTGAAATCTATTATCGGTGAAATTTATCACAGAAAGCTGAAACAACACCATAACGATCTCACTTTAAATCATTTCTGTGTCATCATCAAGTATGATAGTTGTTGATTTGAATACATATGAACTTGGATTTCAATTCATTTTATAATAGTGGTCCTATGTTCGAAAGCCCTAGTCGCAAATATCAAACACTTTACCACTGACAGTCACGATCAGTGTGACACTGCAATTTTCCTACAAGGAGTGTGAACATCGATCTAACGTTGAATGTTCACAATTCAATAACATTTGAACAGTGCCTTTACAAGACGCATATCAATTTCATTTTGCACAATTATCCACAACACTTCAATGACATTTATATCAGTTGATTTTACAAGCAAATCAAATCTTAAACGCAAACTGTAACGAGACTAAATTAGATCACTGTGATAGAATAAAGGAATGTTCTGTATTGACGTGCTGATAACCAGTGTAAAAACAGAAAGTAATATAACACAAACAGATAACTGATGATACGAGTAACCTGACATCAATATGCTGACAACATTTATTGAAACGTTTCTTACTTCTTCCACATGCGAATTTTCGGTTTCCATTCAATTTCTTTAATTTCCGTTGAAACCTGAAAGAAAGTGTTGATAGTTTGAGTCAACATCTCTCAACACACAACCTCCTAAATGAAAGTGAGGTGATTCACTTCTAATCATTTACTGTTTTTAACAAGTGCTTGAATAAGTTGTGTCATCGAAGGTTGAATAATAGTGTCAAATATTCTGTTTGCACTTTACAGAATGTTGATACATTCCTCTCGTGTTCAATGTGACTATTTATATATTTGACAGTATTCATAAACATGAAATAGTTGAGTAATCTGAAGTACTTGAAATCAAACTACATTTGCATTCAATTGTACAACTTACTTTATCATAATAGAAAACTATCTTCCCATTCGGATGTATTAGGCAAGTTACCTTGGCTGTAGACTCTACAATTAGAAAACCATCGATATTAAGAACTTTGGTGAAAACAATGACCAATCTACGTGATATTTCAATCCATCAACTGAATACGACCATAGTGTTTATTTGTTGTAGATGAGAAACCAATAGCCTAAGATATATGGTATTACGGATATGTTTTTAATATTTCGGTGGATAATATTTATTAATGACTATGAGATTAATGGATGGGTAGATGAATGTGTTGTGTACAGAACTGACTTTGTGACAAACATACAGCACGATTCATTTATTTTGAAACTGAAACTGTTCATCAAATTCAATCCAAGCCTGTAAACGTCAACGAATCTGTGAATTCGTTTTCACACAAATGAAATAAGATTGTGACCAAATTTATCCACCATAGTGATCTGTATTTTACTCATCAACCTTAGTCATTTCCAGATCACATCAACTATTCTTCAAATCTTATTCAGCGTCATCAAGCGACCCTCATTTCTCTGAAAAGTGACAAATTCCTACATTTTCAGTTTCTGAGACAAATTGAATTTGACAACCTATGAATAATCATATGGAATGAAGATGTAAGTGTTTAAATTCCACATGTGTTGACTTACGTCTACCATCAACTTCTTTATTCATAAACCATCTGACAGCAAATAATTCCTCTGAAATGATGAAAATAAAAATGGATGTTTAAATATCTGCATAACGAATATATATCACTTTCATTAAATGAAAGATTTAACACGGACTACATTTGCATGCAAGTTATGATCTTCATTCTGAGATTCATTGAACCGATATAGTCAAATACTCAAGTACCTCTCATGTGGAAAGTTCAAGAAATATTATCACCTTCATCCGTATGATAAATGTCTCAATCCATCCAACTAAGAAGTATATTTTACTTCCGTAGCATCTGTTCTAGGAGATTTAGACTGTGGTACAGACTACTAATATCTAACTGACAATACCCATATAATAACATTTTCTGGGATTCTGTTATTAATCAGTTCTGATAACTCATCAAAAACGGATGTTTTCAACCTTGTTGTTCTAGGTGTTCTAGTTTGAGTTAACCATCTTATGATAACAGAATATTATTAATCTTTCATTGCTCAGCTGTTTCAAGAAGTGCCTGTATTGAAATTTGGTAATAGTACGAATGTGATTGCAAAGATCGAGTCCAAAACTCGATGATAAACAAACAGCAAATGCAAAAGCAAACAGTAAATGCCAGAAAAGTATTGGAAGACATGAAATATGACTTGATAGTTCATAGATTTCAATAATTCAAAATGACGTCTCTCACAACATCGCTTATTCTCGCACATGTGATAAGTCCGGTTAATTTAGTCTACAAAGATGTATCGTGTCGATGTCGATATCTGCTATCTTGTAGTCTTGATAGACTGTAGAGTTGGTAATTAGCACTCGTACAATAACATCACTTGTTTTGTCATTTCTACTCTTCCAATGTGTTTGTATGTTGAGGTGAATCTCTGTTTTGTGCAGTATTTTCACATGATGGTAATCAAAAGGTGTTGTGAAACACACATGTTCTGGCACGACAATCACACAAACAAAACAATCATCGTGTGTTGATAAGCTCTTGTGTAATAGTCAAGTAAAATAGAGAATAATGTATGCAAAGTTAAGTGTGGGAATAAGTAACGAAACAAATTATAACTGAATAATACAAGAACTCACTCTTATTCAAAATCGCAAATTCAGGACGTATCTTAGTTGCGATAAAAGGTTCAATATATCCGAGGTATTCTTCTCCGTGCATACCTATGCCATCTGTATTTATTTATTGAAAACATGAAACATGATTGATTATTTAACATTGAATGTAATAAACTGAAGACTTAAATGAATTGCATGAACTGCATCTGGATTGCTATAAAGCATCACATTATCGACACAATTTGAAGAAGAAAGGATATACAAAGAATTATTGCATGTCTCTAGGAGTATAAAACTAATTCAATAAAGAAATGGAATCAGCTTGGATTCATGGACAAAAATGTTATAAAGAAAATTAAGTTATAATTCGAGGTCAAAGAAAATTACTGACTTACCAGGAGCAATAGTGAGATGTTTGACCTGACTACTGTAATATTTAAACGACAGTTGTGGTTCAACTGTCTAAAAAGACGTAAACACAGGGACAAGTACGTCCATCACAAAATGTATTCAACTCACCAAAGGATCAGTGTATTTATCCAAACTTGTACTCACAGGTGGCTGAGGCTGATTAATACTGATTCTCTGCAAATACATATAATGCTGAGACTGAGTATGTGTATAACGATCAAACTGATTACTTACATATCGATAAGAATTATTTTCAAAAGTTACATTTTCCAAGGTCGTCCATTCAGGTTGTTGTCCATCATATTGCACTGCTGACTGTTAATAGATTTCGGGAATATTTACGTCTGGGTAATAAATACAAACAGTTTTCTTTTCTTGGTACAATAGGGGTGTTTCATTTTAGAAAGATCTCGACACTAAACAAAATGTCATTTTCTCAGGTATTACAGTCTGTAGTCGAACAAACAGTTGTACTGTAATTGCGTGAATTTATCAACATCAAAATTGTGTTCAATGATACATTGCTCGTTCCATGTTGTTCATCATGATCTAATTACCAGAGGAAAACATATCAGCGTATGTTTTAGTGTCAATCAGCAATTGTTCTCAGGAAGAGTATGAGTCAGATTATAAATTGTTTGATGTGATGTCTCGTTATACCAACTTGTGTATTTTATATATTGTTATTAGGAAATATGTTGCAAGTACACAGTATGACTTACTGCATGATTTTGTCGTTATGCGATGTCAACTAATACAGCTTGTCAATTCTTGCATATAGCCTAATGCTCCGTACTTTTCTCCATTATCCATTCATGAGCATTGGAGAAAGAGACTTTGATGTATTGCGAAGAGGGCTTGAGGCAGTTAGCAAGGAGTGCGGAGAACCTTTTGAGGTCATTATTATTAGGGTTGTAGATAAACATTTATGTCTAGCTAAATCGTGACAGGTGTCCTCTTATCAGGTACTAACCACCTATTTCATTTATATGTCTCTCTTTATATATCTTTTGTTAGAACGAGACATTAATGCATTAGAATCCATGTATACAAGCAAAAGTATAAGAATCCTACAATACCTTATCTGGATAGAATATACTCTTAGTTTTTCAATGTAATTTTGTGATGACAGCACAAATGATCGTCATATTTTGAATGTTAAACACTACCATTCGTTTACTCAATGAATGAAGTTTTCTCAAAAAGTCCTTTCAACAACTTGTCGATTACATGAGGTGTACTTCAGTGTTTTTCATTAATTCAGAAGAAGATTATTCTTCTTTAAATGATCTCTTTCTTCCTCATTACATCTTCAACGGAGACTAATATACTCCTCCTACTTATTACCAATATGTGAATATTTCAATGTCGAACACAAAATTGTGCTCAGCGCTTCAACGATAATCAGTTTCGACAAAAAACGAAAATGTGCAAGCTATCAAGTGTGCATAAACAGGATTTTATCAGATTTATAATGTTCATTGTAGCTTATAAATTTTACTATGGTCAGCTTTATAAAGGGAAATTCAGCTACACTTATTCATAATTTTATCATGGGGGAACAGAATTAACCAGATAAACAAGCTGAACAAGAATAAAAACACTACTCATTAAGTTCAAGTGTATGAATGAATTGCTTGCATATTTGCTTACCTACTTATGACATCTGAGATTTTGGAAAACAGACTGTCCAGATTATCTAAAAGCGTATTTTGAACATTTTTCCCTAGCGAGCAACTCAATCAGCGAATTTTCAACGATCAACAGATGCTTGGAACCGCCTAAATTTATATCAACCCGTATATGCACTGAAGGCACAAATGGTGATGTGCTGAAAAGAATTGATTCAAACCTATGTCAAATGACTGTGATAAATAGTATTTGTCAGATAGAAAGCGATATATGATTTCAGTTCCATATTATCTGACGTTGATTGTTCGCTGTTTTAATTGTTTACATTTTTTGTATTCTCTCTTTTGAAATATTTAACACTCATCTCCTGCATCTCTATGTTACTCGACACCATAATCTGTTCGACGGCTGAAACATATAGCTCAGGTGATTTACAAGGTAACATTGTCCATCACGATCATACTATCCTGTATGAACAGTAATAATTTGACAGGGAAACAACACGTGCTTCATATGTACTCTTGAAATTCTATTGAACCTTCACGATTCAGTGAGGAATATGTATCTGTATATCACATATCATCATCACATCTACTATTTCAGTACATTTAATCTAATATGCCTTTACACTCAAGAAATATTCTTCTAAAAATAAAAATAATGATGATATTATTAGTGTACACTATCGGAGAGTGTGATTTTTATATGGCGTCAGTCTGTTGACCTCAGTTGTTGTTTGTAGAAACGTCAATGTATGTACTTCTATGTTGTTTATCACCATGTTCTATCTAAATAATCAAAATTATATGATTTTCTCTTTTGTGTAGTGTGCCTGATATAAATCTTGAATATAATAAGGAATGTCGTTTACTAATGGTGCTCTTATATGACAGACCGTCATTTACGCCCACGAAACAAAGTTGAATGAAATTTCCATTTTGCAGATGAGTACTATTTTTCTAAAGAGAGATTGAAGTGAAAACGAGTAGGTTGTCTTCAGGTTACAGGAAGTATTGCTTTAGATATGAATAAACACTGATTGCATTTACCATCTGATTTCAAATGAGTTTAGTGAAAGCGTTCTTATAGAATTGTCTATTTTGTACGTCCGCAGTTCATAAATCTATGGAACTATCAGTAATAATTCCGATGATTTTAGACTCGACTAGTTAATACGTCTCATGAATACTTTCTATGAGACTGTCATCAAGATGATTGATCACATAATCCTCATGACGTTCTGTGTATCGTTTTATATCATTCAGTGTGAAAGATAAATTGATCTATACCGGATATTCTGTATAGATGAATATGACTGTTGACCAAATGTACGTTTGTGTTAAGTATTGATTGAAGTCGGATATCATCGTGAGATGTTAGTGATCGAATTTCGTAAAACATAGAATAGGTCTTGAAATATATTTGCTAATGAAATTCTTCTTAGTTTTGCAGCAGAATCAAAATGAGTTTCTACATAAGTAAACAATCGTAGATGAAGATTTATATAGCCTGCCGCCTATGTCAGCATCCGCTATTTCAAAATTGTATACGTAGTTGATGTTTACGAGGAGATACTTTGATTGATTTTCGATGTTTGTAGTCTTTCGGCAGGGGTTCTTGAAGAGAGTTAGTATAAATCAGTGAGATTTACTCTTACTTCCGAAAAAACCAATGCTGCCCGTGTCATCCAAACTCATATCACTCAATTTTGAACAATGAGGAGTAACTGTTGCGATATTCAAACGACAAATGAACTATGGCAGGACAGAGATATTCATGTGTCATCATTCTCCAGCACTTGAGTACCTATAGAATACTGTCAATCACGTGTTCTGTCACGACACAAACCAGGAGACTTTGACAGCTTAACTCACTGTAGCCCATTGTTCTGAATATATATACGTTTTACGGTCGGTCAAATGTATGTTTTCATTGAATATTCATTAAGGTTCATAAGAACAGTTTAGTGAAGTAGAAGTAGATCAAATTGTTCAAGAAAATAAACGTCTTTAATAAGTCTGTTTTTTCATGTTGAAATTGGTTTTATAAACTAACAGAGGTGGAAAAGTTCTCACTACTCGACATGTGGATATTTAGTCTTTCAAAATATGCATGAAAATTATTTCATTATTGACTGAGGAGTGCAAGTGTGATTCTATTGCTGTGTGTGAGTGATTGAGTATGTAAATGAGTATGTATATCGTCTGTTTAAATAAGTCAACCATGTGTCCATGTCTGGATGAGTCAATGGGTACCCATAAGCGTACTACATCTCCAAGTATCTACTCACACCATAGCTATTTTACTCGAGATATCTGGTTACGTGGATGTCAGAAAATGCGGATCTTGAAATTCATCTTTAATGAAACTCAATCTTTATTAACGTCTGTACACCGGAAATGGAAGAGGTGAATCTGTGGTGTCGTTATCAGAAAGCCATAAAACTATATTTGGTGAAGGACTTGAGGAATGCACTGCACCTGTGACACTTTGATAAAAATCGAAGCTAGGGTTATGGTCTAAAAGAACTTAACCACATGCTCTTTGTATTTTCATAGCTTATACTCATTCAGATATGTTGAAAAAGATGAAACGTATTAGGACATTTATCCAGCATTTACTCCATCTCACTCAGTAATTTGTACGTCATTCATAGTATTCTGACTTGTTTTTACATTACTGTCCTTCAATTTATCTAATCCATATTTATTTCTGATCATTAATCTTACAATTCCATTCAATACGTAGAGCTATTAAAATTCACATGTTATTCTTTTCTCAGCGATAGGTATCGCTGTACATCTGACCGGATTTCGGATGAATAAGCTGGATAATATAACTGTGGAAACTGAAGAGAATGACACAACGATCATTTATTTTGTACAGTTTGAGCTACTATAAACATATTTCTGTTAAAGTCTGTGAAAGCCACTTCATTTGGAATGCTTTATGTTAGATCCATTTTGAAGATTTTTGTGTGTGAAAATCCCTCCTGTATACACTTGCAGTTTGTTCCTACTGATTCTTTTAGTTGTACATTTTGTTAGTCGTTTTGATTATATTTGACTTGTTAATATTTGTATTTCATTAGAGTTTCTATTTTTCTTACGCCTTCACTAAGTTTTCGTGTTTCTTCCTGAATTGCATTTATGTTGTTTGACATGATACTTAGTCTTGGCAGCAGATATATTGGTTTGTTCCTCCTCTTGATTGTGTTGCTTGTATTGACTGGAATTGTGCCTTTCATTGACTGTGAATTGAGGCATTCTTTCAGAATTGGAAACACTCTGTGTTATAAAGCAACCAAATATTATCTTTTGAATGAATCTGTGCGTGATCTAGCCAGACAGGATAGAATAACACTGATTTGTTGTGATTGGTAATTTTCTCGCATCCTTTATCAACTTCGTTATTTATTGTAATCTAGATCTGATTAATTGAACAATTATTGGTTGAATAGCTAGGTGGTCATATTTGTTTAGGTAACGATGTGCATTCAACTTTATGATGAATATTAGAACCGTCATTTTACCCAATTACTTTGTTTTTGACTTTAATCGGGCAAGGGCGCGTATCTAACCCACCTAGACAGCTATTCTTCAGTCCAAACCTTTGTTTGGATCTTACAGTTTATATGAAATAGCTACATTAGCCGGCATTGAGCATAAACATACGTCATTATAATAGCTACTAAAATATATGATTGTTGGTTGACATTTGCATTTTGAATTATTCTAATTCAAACATAGAATTATTCATTGAATAACATTAAGGTTGAATGAAGAAAGCTAACGTTCTATGTATGACATATTTTGCAACGTAAAACTTGTCGTCGTACTATATTTTAGTCTTCATTCGTTCATCTTAATAGTTTTTACCTTGTAAGTTTCATTGGGAAACCATAATGTCACAAGAGAACAGTAAATTAAAAAAGTGATCTAAACGCCTTAGAATTATCAGCATTGGGTTGTGGAGATTTGTCAGACTTTGATGGAGTTCACGGATCGATGAATGTTAGATCACCATTGGAAACCTGGAGGCATTTGATAGCAGTTTAGTCCTAGTATGGGACTCTTCAGCAGTGCGCATCTACGATCTCTCACTCCGTATGTGTGCACAAATATTTCCGTAACATCCTGAAAACTCGTTTTAAGCACAGAATTCTGGTTAGTATATTCCTGAGCAGTTTCAAGTAATCTTGTACTTATAAAATACCTTGAAAAACAAACTTGGTTAATTTTATCAAGTTTCTATTATAGAAAATTGAGTTTAGTTTTAACCGACTAAACCTCCAAAATATAATCACTTGACATCTCCAGATAAACAAATTTTATTCTGTGCCACCATAGTTCACCGATAATGAGGAAGCATTTCGTGCCAACAATTTAAAACACTAAATATTATCTCACGTGGATAATGAACTCGTGTCAATGTCACTCAAGTTGTTTGCTTTATAATCACGAAAACGACTTGTTACATAATTGAGTATATCCAATGTCATCTAGACTAATGTGCATTTATTTGGAATAGTGTTTTGTTTTAAAGGATTAACTTGATGTTGGAATCCGTGCAATAACAATTTACACTCTACATTCCATGAATTGATTACCCACCTTAAACTAACAATGTACATGCAATGAGTCTGAAGTTTATAATCTCTAGTGGATTAGATTTCAACTAAACCTCATCTTTACACACAACTTCGCACTGATTCGGCAGTAGTGCATAGTAATTTTGTAAATAATTGTCACAAATATTGAAGTGATGATGCAGACACTGATTTTGATCCAGTTCGTTTCAAAACGACAGCGTTTGATAAATCTCATCACTAACATTCAGCAGGATTGGAATGGGTTGAACTGACGTTCCTAAGCAGGTATGGCCTTACAACTTCGCTGCAAGAAGTGTAAACATGCAATTGACGTTGAAGTTTTGATATACCGTCGCGTTTGAACAGTGTGTTTACGAAACATATTCCGATTTTCTGCCCCTTAATTGTCTTCAATTTTATCGTTGACATTCCGGTCAACTTATTTTATACACAAAACAACTTGGTAATGACAACTGTGATGGAGTACATGAATTTTCCGTTCTGACCTGTTGATAGCCGAGTTCAAATATGATAGCTTTGCTCAATTTCCACTGAAAGCTGAAAGGAAGTAGTAGTACTCTGTGGCGAAATAGAGGGTTTTTACAAAACTATGGAAATGAAGTGAAACGGGCAAAAATGAGAAACTCAGTTTTTGATGCTCTGAGTATGGGGAGTAATTCGGTCCGTCCTCTATCCTCAGGAGACATGAGACTATGCACTGAAGAAACAACTCATGACGAGCTGAATATAATCCGACAAACCCGTCTGAAGTATGAGTTGAAATTTCACCATTCTATCTATTAATTATTACCTCACATAATAGAATGTTATTCATTATTTCGACTCAATATCATATCAGTTCTTCCAATTGAATGAGTTCGAATATCTTTGCTATTTTTGTAAAACTTCTCTGAATAACCAGAGGCTACTAGCCGTCCAATAAATCACACATAAAACCCACTGTATAGCTTCATCTACCCATATCGTCAGGAAGGAAACTTGAGTCATTTAAACGTCGCCATTCGTTTCAGTGCTAATGAATTGGTGATACTAAGTGAGATAGTGGTGAGTGATTTTAGTACCACATTCATTATCACTGGTTATTCGTTGCATTAATTGTTTTCATTTTGTCGTATCTATTATGGTCAACTGGACACTCAGCTTTTACACCTCTATTTAACTCAAGACTATAGTGAGTTTCACAGCTAGAATGTATGGTTGAAGTGATCTAGAAGATAATAATGTTCAACAAGAAGATGTTATTCTCGATGAACCGTATCACTTTGACATGAACACAACATGCACTACTTTCCTCCTCTCAAATCTGTTCACATAAACGACTGTTACTTGACGATTCATTCAGGAATACGTGTTTGAATGTCACATAGAATCATCACATTTACTATTTGTGTTCTTCTAATCTAATATGCGTTTTCACATATGAAACATATTTCTCAAGGTTAACACAAATGATGATGATAATAATAGTGTACACTATGTGAGAGTGTGATTTTGAGAAACATCAGTCTGATGACCTCAGTTGTTGTATTTAGAAATGTTAATGATTGTACTAAATTGTTGTTTACCACAATATTTTAACTAATTAATTAAACGATATGGTTTACTCTTTTGTATGATGAGCCTGATATAAATCTTGAATATCATAAGGAATGTCGCTTAGTAATGATCCTTTGTCTCTGTCGATGTATCCGAATTCGCATATTTAGTTGGTGTTATTGGGTAGATATTTTGATTAGGGTAGGTAGTGTTCGCTGTTTGTAGTCTGTCGGGAGAAATCCGTGAATGTGGGTTTCTTGGTGTTTGGTGAAGGTCAATTCAGTTTATTTGCGCTTCTGAAGAATCCAAAACTCCTCGTGTGATCCAAGAAATACATACACTATCGCCACTCAAAATGCTACTGTTAGTGGATGTAGTTCCTAAAGGACTTGAAATTACAACCTGATATCGATTTCATCGCCGGCGAAGTTGCTAAGTGAATTGTTTCTCAAAATAACGTGATTATCTATAATATACCTAGCGAAATCACCCTTGGATTTGTGTGTGAGTGTGTAAGGAATTTGGTTTTCAAAAAACAGTTGAACTTCAAGACAGTTCATATGAATGTATTCGCTCTAATGTAATGCGCCATATGTAGATTTACCCTATCTTGTTTAAATTCGATTCACGTTTATTTTTTGAATAGCTGAAGGGATCCGAACGGCTATTCAGTACACTTACAAAGTTTAGGATTGGTCGTATCGTCTCGGATGAAACCGCAGTAGCGTACCTCAAACGAACATAATGCTGTTGAGATTACAACAAATCCTTCCTCATCAGCATGAGGACCCACTTATGCTGTTAAACTGTCTCATGTTCGCCAACACTCTGAATTACCAATGAAGAATGCTAAATTGCCTCATATGCATGTAGTGACCTCAGGCAACCAATGCATGTACAATGGCGACATTAATTCGAAATCTTCCAGCAAAACATTAGAAACTCATGCCCAACTACCTAGTTCTAACGTGAAAGCTCTTAAAACAGTTAAGATTAATACGTCTATACCATGTTATAAGAAAGTATATACAGAACCTTCTGGTTCCAGACCTAATCGCAAGAATATTACAATGTCTCTAGCGTACAATAATTTGCACACCGACATCATGTTTTACCTTAATAATAATTGAGGTGGCTATATGATCAGAATTCGTTCAAACGTCGTACAAGACGGACACCACCACCGTCGTGTAAGCAGGGCTGATTTTGGAAAGACCGCAGAATACCAACGTGTCTCCAAAGTTCGGGTAATGTGGATGATTTGATAGTCAATGCATTTACACATGCATCCGCTCCAAACTACAATACTTCAAGGGATTCATGTTGCCCTAGAATGAACTGGGTTACCGGTAGTTGTCAGTCATGATGAATTTCCGGTAACCATTAACATACACTTCTGGTCGCAGTGAGAGTGATAATATACTTGATCTAATATTTAATAGAGATGTCATCCCACTACCTGTACAAGTATACAATGAGTTGAAGAACAGTGAAAATAAAGTAGTTCTCTGTGCCCTCCCTATCCATCCCTCTCATAACCGAGCCAGACAAAACTCCGTCTATATACGTACTATAAGCATGCTGACTGGGACGTCCTCAGCCCACTGGTTAACTTCTCAGACTTGGATAACTTTTTCTCATGTATAGTCTCTAGGATGCCATCGACACATTCTATCTGATCGTCAGCTCGCGACAGTTGAGCAAATAACAATAGTTTTTAACCAAATTAGAGAGAAGCACAGGTTAAAAGCCATTATTGAGTTGCTGTTAGCAATTAATGCCAGCTCAGAAGTGCAAAACGTAATTCTCCTTTTCAATAAACGCGTTAAAGCAACTCAACATTTTCATTTGCGATGCATCCTGTATAACAGCACTTTCATATACGCCCCTAAAATTATAGCAGACCTCTTCAGTGGTATTTATACGAATGGTAATAATTACTGAGTGGCACTGAGTCAAGAGTTATGTGGGTGACTAGTAACTGGTAAATGGGCACAGAATACATATGTGCCACACAATTTACTTGTTTTTTGTGTGGGCTGTGATACTGCTTGCTTGCACAAGGCAGTGGAGAAACGTCAGGTGATGCAGTCCCATGGTAGCCGTTGACCGATGATTGGTTCATACACCATTTGTTCCCTCACGACCTTGGAGCCCATGTGCACCACTTATCCTTACTGTTGAGAAACCGCATATTATTGAACCACGTTAGAGATAAGATTGACATGAACAATTATCGGCCCATAAACATTACTGCAATCATCTCTAGGATTATTAGAAAAATTGTTAGTGACGAACTTTCTAACTAACTA